AATAATTCCCCTGACATACAGCGCCTTTGCAAAGAAGGGCAAGAAATTCTCCACAGTCACTCCCGGCCCCCTCCAAAGCCCCCTCAGTCCACGGCCTTCCCGACCGTTCGTGCTGACTTCGCTTTTCGCGACCCCCCTCACGAGCGCCCTTCAAACTGTCCTTCTGTTTCCATCCGAATAGATACAGACCCTCAAGTCCCTTCTCTGTACCCTCCCCCTTCAGGAGTTCTATTCCTCTGCTCCACCCCCCAATTCCCAGGACCCCGGCGACCAGTTAAACCCCTCTGAACAGGCAGAATTAGAGGACGAGGCCGCTCGCACAATAATCCTGACTGGCCACCACTCGTGGCGGCAGTCCTTCCGCCATTCAAACCGCCTCCTTATAGTACCTCTCACGCACCCGCCCGCCGCCATTTTGCCTTCAGCGCATGGCGCGTCCGCCATTTCACCTGCGGCGTGCAAGGCACCCCATGCCTCTAGCTGTCTCCACCAACATATCAGCCCTGAATATCACCGAACAAAACTGCACCCTCAGCATACCCTTTAGAGTTCAGCCTATGCTCTTTTACTCCTCCCCTTGTATCTATAAAGGTTCACAAAATAATTCTTTTGATATTTCTGTTGGTTTCGCTAGTTTTACCAATGTAGCCACACGCTTAATTACAGCACATCCCTCTGCCCTGGCCCAGGACGAGCATTCGTGTGTGGTAATAATCTAGCTTTCACCGCCTTGCCCGCCAATTGGACAGGGCTATGTGCCTTAGCTGCCTTATTACCTGACATAGACATCATCCCAGGAGATGAACCTGTTCCCGTCCCTGCTTTTGACCACTTCGCAGGACGACACAAAAGAGCCTTAGCTGTTATTCCCCTGCTTGTTGGTCTAGGAGTCTCTGGAGCAGTAGCTACCGGAACTACAGGATTAGGAGTCGCAATTCACTCCTACACAAAACTTTCCAAACAACTTGTCGATGATGTACAAGCCTTATCAAATACTATTACTGACATTCAAGACCAATTAGATTCCCTAGCAGAAGTAGTCCTACAGAATAGACGAGGTCTAGACTCACTCACAGCAGAGCAGGGAGGTGTCTGTTTAGCTTTACAGGAACGATGCTGCTTTTATGCCAACAAGTCAGGCATCATACGGGACAAGATCAAGACCCTTCAAGAAGACCTGGAAAAATGGCAAAAAGCTCTGACTGAGAGCCCTTTCCTTACAGCCTTCAACGGACTGCTCCCCTTTCTTCTCCCTCTCCTCGGGCCTTTAATAGCTATCATTCTTTTCCTGACCTTTGCTCCCTGGGTTCTCAGGCGCACCACAAACCTCATCCGAGACCAACTTAACTCCCTTCTTGGCAAGCCTATCCAGATACATTATCACCAGCTAGAAATGAATGAACCTGGCACTGACTCGCAGCGTTTTCTCTGAGAATGTCCTCGCGCATAAACTCCCTTTTACACCCCCACCTCCTACGAGAACAGTATAACTCTTGGCATTATACTTTACATATGAATTGTAATGGATACCGCTAGGTGCAGAGCAAAGCATCGCAAGGAGAAGCTACCCCGAAGGTGGCCCTGCCATGTCTCCTGAGAGGCAAGTCGGCTTGCATAGAGGTCAGCGCCCCAACCCTCTCCTCCGAAAAGGGTGCTTCAGAGCTCAGGACGAGCTCCGGAGGAGCCAGACCTCTGCCTCCCCTAGCCGGTTAATGTCCACTCCTCACCTTAAAAATAAAAATAAGGGAGGAGATGTTGGGGGCTGGGAAAGCCTGAAACAGGCTGATACAATCCGACCTGAAGGTTGCGCCTGAATAACAGGATGCTGCGGTTAGGAGCCATAGAACTCCCCCTCCTGGACATGCGGGTGGCACACCAATCAGTGCCTTGATCACGCGCCCGCCATGCACCCCCCGGCCAATCGCAGGCTAGAGCACGCTTTGAAGCCACCTATCCACTGCATTTCCTCCACTGCCCTCCTCTATATAACTCCCTCCATTTTGAAATAAAATTTGCAACTTGATCAGAATCCTTTGTCTTGCTGCCATTCTTTGCGCCTCCTGTCCCATCCCCCTTCATCCGTTACAGGTATATCGGCGGACCCCGTTGACTGCCTCGCGGGCTGAGGCATTTTAGGTCTGTGATTATTGAAATTTCTGCTTTGCTGGCCTCTTCAACTTTAAGTCAGGGATATATGAAGCAAGAAATAAAACCCAGGGTATTACCATGTAGTTCCTTTGATCCGGAGGCGCCTTGCCTATCTTTTTCTCTCCACTTTTCAGAGTCTTGTTTGTATTATATATATATTATATATATAATATATTTATATATATTTTATATATAATATATTATATATTTTTATATATAATATATTTATATATATAATATATATAAATATATTATATATAAATATATATAATATATTATATATATAATATATATATATATATACTTTTCAGGATTTTTACTTGTACTGAGCAGGAAAAATAGTTAAAAGTACATCTATTCCATCCCCTTGGAAGCAGATGCCTCATTTGCCTTATTTTTATTTGTTTTCTAAGATATCATTTTGTTGTTTTTAAATCAGGAAGAAACTTGAATTTTATAAAATGCCTTTTTAGCCCTGGCTGGTGTAGCTCAGTGGATTGAGCATGGGCCTGCGAACCACACAGTTGCAGTTCAATTCCCAGTCAGGGCACATGCGTGGGTTGCAGGCCAGGTCCCAGTAGGGGACTCACGAGAGGCAACCATACATTGATATTTCTCTCCTCTCCTTCCCTTCCTCTCTAAAAATAAATAAATAAAATCTTAAAATAAAAAAAAGAAAGGACTTGTATTAATCAGAATTAAAAAAATAAAATAAATAAAATGCCTTTTTACTCTCTACTGATAATCTGCTTTCCTGTTTTTATCTATTAATATGAGGATTTTACAAAGAGTTTTAACTAAATTTTTGCGGTGAATGTTATATAGTTTTCTGCTCTATCCCCAGCATACAGCAGAGGTTTGCTAATGAGTAAGCAATGATGGCTGGGGCTTTTGTAAGACTATGAGGAATATAGTAGGTGCTAGTGTTAAAGACTTATTTTGGAATTCCTTAAAGGGAATTTGTGACTTATAGGGAGAAATTGCTACTCACCTTCAGCTGAAAGTTTCCACACAAAAATGGGTGTCTATTGCTTCTTGATCTTTATTTTTTGTCCAGAGAGAGGGACAAAAAATAAGATTTTCTATGGAAAATGTTCCAATTTTTAAATGTTGGCATCTAATTAATGAATATTGTTAAACAATATATAGGTCACACTAAATATAAGAGGTAATGTAAAGAGCACTTAAATGCTGAGTATGTCCTCAGTAAAGGGACATAGCCTCTTCCCCTTCCAACTCTGGGCCAAACTTCTAAGGACAAGGGAAATGAAACTCCGGGTGGTTTGGGGGGATTCAAAAAAAGAGTCTTGTGTTTCTACTTTTCTAAACAAAGTGCAGCACCATGATGAAACTCAAGAATTTATTTGCCTTAGTGTGATATAGGCATTTCATACTGTATCTTCTCAGATTGGACTAAGATTGTCCCATTTAGGAGCTGGCAGTATGCCTGAGATTATCTTGTTGAAATAGCACAGAGAGGGACAAAATCAATTTCTAAAATCCCAGGAGGGTCATAGAAGTCAAAACGTAGCTGAGTTGAAGGGGTCTCCATATCAACTGTTATGAAGGTTCATAAAAGAATGTGACTTTAGTTACATTTCTTGCACCATTTGAGTTTATGGGCCAAAATTTTACCCTCTACACTATTTTACTGCTATAAATTCTATTACATTCAAAGTTTGATTGTCATCATTGTTATTTTATAAACCATTTTTCATTACAATTTCAATTTTTCTCTTGATACAACAGTTACCTCCCCACAATCCAGGTTTTAGTTACAATTTAAAAGTGCCTTGTCTATTTTATAGAACTTTAGTTGTCTTTCAGATACAATTCTTAAAACTGGATTTCAGCATCTAAAACTGAACATTTTCATATTTGTGAGAACACATTTTTCAGAAACTCCTAAATTTAAATATAATTGTTATATCTGTGAAAATGTATATTTTTGAAATTACCAAAGACCCAATCTATGTTTAATCCTAATGTTTATACTTATGTTCTTAGATTTTGAAAACCATATAAGTTCAAACTTTGCCATCAATATCTATGCTCAGAATTTGCTGCTAAGGTGTTTTTGTTCGTTTGTTTAGCTGTTTTTTTTTCCTCATTGCTCTCTTTAAGCCCTTTAAACACATCATACATATTTTTTCTGGTTTATTTTCATTAAACTATACACTCTATGCAGGTCCAGATAGAGGTGTTTTTTAATGTGATTTAAAAGCTAATGAAGTCAAATGATTCAAAGCAATCAACACATAATAAAATTACTTTGTCAGGGCCATAGTCATTTCTAGCATCAGCTTTATTTATGCAATGAATCTCTGAGGGAAAGTCACCTCCTCAGGGTACCATGCATATCTAAAACAATCATGGGTGCCCCACCACCTCACCAACATACACAGTCTCTGTCCTTTTACTTGGTGTTCTTTTTCTCTGTAGCAATTTATCTTCATCTGACACAGTACATATTTCATTAGTTAATGGATTCTAGGCCTGTGTTCTCAAACTTGCTCTGATTTATTTACTGATGTATCCTTAACTCCTCCAGTAGCTGGCACACTTTAGGTCTTAATTGGAGCTTAAATAAAAATACTCCAAAGAACCTAGAAATTGCCTTGGGCTCAGAATGACTATTTAACAAGCAGATTTACTAGTGGTACAGAAACACATTGATTATAAGACATCTATAAGTGAGATATTTTTTCTAGCCCTTTTCTCCTTTAACATGATAATTAAAGCCAACTTGCCTGGGAGTAACCTCTGTCTATCAACCGTCAGTCGGTGAAGATGTTTTAGAGAGAATAATACAATTATCAATGAGCAAAAGGCCGGGGCACGAAGGAAAAAAGTTAAGCGGTAGCTTCAGTGGGGCATTCCGCGGCTAAATGACCATACTCCCCACAGCAGTAGCACTTCACCTCCTTTGTCTCAGTGCAGTTGATGGCCATGTGACCAGTCTCGCCACACCGGTAGCACTTGATTTGCGGGCAGTCTTTCTGAATGTGTCCATGTTCACCACAAGTGTAGCACTTTTGCTCTTCTCGACGGTCACAGTCACGACCAAGATGTCCTGGTTTGCCACAAGTGTAACAGCACAGTTCTTTCACGTGCTTAGGCTTGACACAGTCTTTGGCGATGTGACCACTTTTCCCACAGTTGTAGCAAATGTCCTTGAGAAAGTCACAGTCCTTAGCATGATGACCAGAAGCACCGCAGCGGTAACATAAGTCAGATAGGGTGGTGGAACTGCACTGAGAATCTCTGCCATGGCCTCTAGCTCTGCGACCTTGATCTTGTTGTCCTCCTCTACGGCATTCCCGGGCCCGGTAGCCAGTGCGTCCACAGCTGAAGTATTCCTTACTGCTCATGGCTGCGGTGAGATCTTCTAATGAGCCAGTGAGCCGCTGCCCCAGAGGCCCTGCCGCAGCTCCCCTTGGTGTGGCTTAGAAAGGAGTAGCTGTTCTTCTCTAGGAGCCTCCGGGACGTCACACTAGGTTTGCGTACAGTGCCATTCATACGTCACAGCCGTTCCAGCTGCCATTCCTTCCTGACTTTCTACCTATCCTTGAAGCCGAAAGCACGGGAGTGGTGTTTTCCTCTTTTTAAAAATAAAACCTTGGGTCATTAAGTTTGAGTTCAATTCCTTCTCTGTTCAGAAAATGTGCCCTGTAGGATTTATTATAATTAAGACTTAGGCCTTCTTTGTGGTCTACTTAGTAGATGACCAGTTTTAACGTATGTGCTATGGACATAGGAAAAATATGTGTGAGATGTATCAAATCCAGTAAATAAAAGAAACAAATTATAACAAAATAACCTATTTTTTGTTTTGAAAAATAAAAATACACTAACCCCTGGAAGCCAATAGCCAGAGATAGCTGACATACTCAAGATATCCAAATCAAAGTTATTTATGAAAAAATAAATAAAATAAAATACAAATGTCCATAAAAATATGAGATACATAAAAAAAAAATCTGTAAAAATGCCACAGGAAGAAGATTTACTCATAAGTTAGCCCATATTTTATTGCAGTAATTTTAGTTCTCAACATAATCACCACCATTTAAGTTATAAAATAATACAATTAAAATACTCAGTATAAAGAATACACTATTACTTGGGAAATAAATTACAAAAGCATAATTTACATACTGGAGATATTTCCTCTCTGTTTCCCCAATTGGTTATATCTTATATAAACCTCATAAAGATTTGTGGGCATGTTGTTCATTCATATAGATAAATAAGTATGGAAAACTAGACACTGAAAAATCAAGACAAGCTATTTGAGACTTATATGATTGAATATGACTTTTTTCCTCCTTATTTTCCTTCTCTGTACTTTACAATTTTTGAAATGTTTTTGGGTTGGGTAATTTAAAAAATTCACAATAAATATTTTTATTTGTTATTAACTGTATGATTTACATATAAAATTTAATCAGACAGCCAATACAAATATATTTGGTAAAATACAGACATAAGAATAATGCATATAGTAGTTGGTTTTTATTTTCAATATCATTTAATTGGTATGTGGAATTGGTTTCATAAATGCAACCACAAAGAAAAATGTTTTCAAAAATTAAAGTTTAAAGCCAAAGAATATGAGTAGTTGCCACCCATAGAGTGATGAAATGAGTTTTATTCCTAAACAATTAAATGATGCTGCACAAATGATATCAAGTGGCAAAAATTCTCTCTGTGGTTCAAATTTTAATATATGCTACTTAAAATAACCTTATTAATTATTATGTTTGAATTTTGTTTTAGGTTTATATTTTTACTCAAGTAATACATGCCTATAACATATAAAGCATTGTTTTTTCAAGCAGCTTTTAAAATTTTTATTTATTTATTTATTTATTTTTAGAGAGAGGGACAGGCAGAGAGGAAGAGAGGGAGAGAAACTTCAATGTGTGAGAGATACAGCCATAGGTTGCTCTCACACATCCCCAGCTGGGGACCGGGCTTGCAACCAGGTATGTGCCCTAAACGAGAATCGAACTGGCAACCTTTTTGGTTTGTAGGCCAGTGTTCAATCCACTGAGCCACACCAGCCAGGGCTCAAGCAGCTTTAATTGAAATATGAAGACATGCATTTTACATCTGCCTCTCTACATATGTGTATGTCTATACATATATATAAACTCAAATTAGTTTAGGAAAAAATACTTCTCCTTAATGTGTACAATGCATTTTGATGTCTCTATTTCTGTTGTAAAAAATGCTGGCACTGACCCATTAAAATGATTTCTCAGTTTACTAAATAATTGTAACTCAGTTTGAAACACACAGAACGACCATTTAGCCCTCTATTACCTACAAAATGTTTTGGTTCACCTCAAGCATTTTCATAATTTAAGTTCTCCACTACACCCCCCACCTACCCTTTTACCTTTCTCTTAATATTGGTTAGGTCAATATCAAACATTTACATAACTATAGCTATGTAAATGATATTCCTGTCTAAGCCATGAATACTTTTATCAATTTTCAGTACCTGAATAGCTCTTTGTCTCCTGAAGTTAGTTACTGTCATTCTTCATTTGTTAGTTTCTCATATACTTATCTCAATTCTATTTCATAGATCTATATGGCTATCCTTATACCACTACCAGTCTTCATTACTGTAACTTCATATTTTCTTTTGAAATTAGGAAGAGTGAGGTCTCCAACTTTGCTCTTCTTTTCCAAGATTGTTCTGACTATTCTGAGGCCCTTGCATTTCCATGTGAATTTTAGTGTCAGCATGTCAATTTCTGCAACAAAGGCAACTGAGATTTTGATATACAGGGTCCAGCACAAATAATGCCCCCTTTTTATTATAAAATCTTGGTTATTACAAAATCATAAGCATGTAATTCTGTAATAAAATAATATCACACTCAAGCACACCATATGCCTTTTAGGTGAAATGTTCAAATTAAAACTATAAATTATTACACCTGAAATGTTCAAATTAAAAGTATAAATTATTAATAAGCACACCATATGCCTTTTAGGTGAAATGTTCAAATTAAAACTATAAATTATTAATAAGCACACCATATGCCTTTTAGGTGAAATGTTCAAATTAAAACTATAAATTATTACCCTACCAGCCACACTTAAGCAGGAGTTACTTCTGTCAGATCCTGTATACTGTGGATCAATTTGAGGAGTATTCCTTTAACAATATATTTCTTAAAGATTTTGTTTATTTATTTTCATTTTATTTATTTTTTAATAGAATTTATTTATTTATTTTTAGAGAGAGAGGAAGGAAAGGAGAAAAAGAGGGAGAGAAAAATCAATGTATGGTTGCGTCTCATGCTCCCCCTACTGGGGACCTGGCCCACAACAAGGCATGTGCTCTGAGTGGGAATCAAACTAGTGACCCTTTGATTCACAGGCCAGCACTCAATCCACTGAGCTACATCAGCCAGGGCAATTTATTTATTTTTAAAGAAGGGAAATGAAGAAGAGAGGGAGTGAAACATTAATATGTGGTTGCCTCTCACATGCCCCCTACCAGAGACCTGGCCTGTAACCCAGTCACGAGCCCTGACTGGGAATCAAACCAGCAACTCTTTGGTTCTCAGGCCAGCATTCCATCTACTGAGCCACACCAGCTAGGGCTCTATACTGTTTTTGATCCACAATTAGGAGTCTGCAGATGCAGAGGATTAACTGTATGTATCAATCTATGCTACTTTACATACATGATTTGAACATCCACAGATTTTTGTATCTATAGGGATCCTGTAATGAATTCTCCATGGATACTAAGGAACAAGTAAGATTTGGGGGAGTCAAAATTATGTTGTTTATATGGTATATTTCATTGATTTTTATGTGTTAATTTAACACTATATTCCTGAGATAAATACCACTTGATGGAGGTATATAGTCCTTTTTATATGATTTCCTACCATTTTGTTCAGGATTTTTACATCTATATTGAAAAAGAATACTGATCTGTAGGGGTTTTTTTGCTTGTGATATTGTAACAGGGCGCAGCCAAGAGGGGGGCCCCAGAAAAGGATTTGAGATGGGGTCCAGAGCTCAGGGTGTCCAGGAAATATTAAGATGTCCTCACCCCCACCCCCAGGTGTCACTTGGGGGAAGGGACAAGTGGAGCAGGGCCATTGAGAGCTGTTTTGCATAGCAACAGTTTCACAGCTAACCTCTGGAATGGTCATTTAACATATCTATAACCTTTAATTGCTTTCATAGATATATTAAATAGCTGTGGCCTTGCTTTGAGCCAGGAAGAAGGGAGTGGCTTCTACCCAGGATGTAACTAGGGGCTGGTCCCTTGAGTTACAGCACCTGTGTGAGAGCTTGGAGTTGATTGGCTCCACACCATGGGGCAATACCTGCCCAGACTCACTATGGCAGCCAAGTAAAGCTGGGAAGGTTTGAGAGCCCTGGCAGTGTAACTGATTGTAGGAGGAATTGGAAATGGGACTACAAAGGAGGATGGGTGCAGAGATTTAAACCCAGATGTGGCAACCATTGAGAGGGAGAGCCATGTGGTTTTGGCCAGATGCAGACCCCTGCAGCCAGGTGAAAAAGAGAGCCACACGATTTCAGCAGAGTAAGGATCCCCTCTTGGTGAGGTGAGAGAGGGAGAACCATGTGGTTTTGGCCAGAGTGAAGACCACTGGGGCCAGGTGAATGGGAGAGCCACGCAGTTTCAGGAGAGTGAAAGAGTACCACTCAGCTTTGCCAGAATGGGGACCCCTGCAGCCAGGTGAAGAAGAAAGACACACGCTTTTGGTCAGAGTGCTGATCCCTGCAGCTTTGGTAGAAGAGGCTCATGTGGCTTTGGCCTTGTGGCCTGGGAAGCAGGAAAGACTTTGCCTGGAACTTGGTACAAAGATCTCTTTGCCAGTGGACCGTGAGAAGGTGCCACATGACTTTGGATTAACTGGAGATCCTGCCTGGACGGTGACACAGCTGACGGTGCCAGCAACCTGAAACACAGATGTGTGCTTCTTTTCCTGAGATACAGTACCCTGAATTAGGGCAGGGGGAGAAGGAAGCGCTGTGGGCATCTGTGGTTATCTTAAAGGACTTCGATATTTTAATGGGGACATTGGGTCACTACTTTAAGTCTGTACAGCTCTAAATAAACCTTTCCTTTCCTTTTCACAAATCTCTGGCATTGAGAGATGTCTTTTTAATTGGCAGCGGACAGACGAGCCCAGTAGCTACTAGTATACCGTCCTTGGGAGGGGCCTCTGTTTTCTGTAGCAGTTATTGGCATCCCTCGGTGGGCCAAATATTGCCCCCCCCTTGGACCTCTGTTTGGGAACAATATCTCTGTCTGGTTGTCATTTCAAGGTAACCCTGAGTGCAAGGAATGATTTTGGAGATC